ACACCGCTGGGCTTTCGCGTGGTTTAAAATGGCCGATGCCTCGTGGTCGACATACGAACGACCACCACCCTGAATTCGGTTTCATTGAGAAGTGTCTGCGGTTAACCACAACGTTCTAATTGGGATCAATAGGTTAACCAGCAGCACACTTCTCTCCTGGGTGGCCGTCTGTTCGGCAGGCTTGTTCGGGAAAAAGAGTCATTCGAATGGCTGGGCTATAGAAACCAGCCATTCATACGAACGGGAGACAAACAGACGAATGCAACTAAAATACAAGCAGACAGATGGTTCTGTCACAGTCCAAATGATTAACTCCTCTGACCAGAGAAACTGACAAGCCAGGCAGTCCCCCTGCTGCCAGTCCGGCTGTCCCGACCCATGTGATTGCAATCACATGGCCAGAATGGCTGCCTGTATCACTGCCTGCAGGGGGACTGCCTAAGTTATTAGGCAGTCCCCCAAAGTAGAAAGTTTTTGAAATTTCAAAATAGTTTTTTTTCTAATTATACATTGCATATGTTTTTTTTTTTTTTTAAAGTTAATAAAGCATGTGATTAATATATTATACATATATAATATGTATAATTTCATTGTTCATGAATTTTGATATTAATACATATATTAATATCAACATACACTTAGAATTAATTAGATGTATAATATATTAATGAAATGCTTTAAAATTATTTAGAGTATTTTGTACATATATAATGAAATAGTATATATAAATGTAATAACAATAGACAATCACAGTCTGCTTAAACTCATAACACACAAAGAATGAAATGTTGCCATGTTTTTATTGAACACACCATATAAACATTCACAGTGCAGGTGGAAAAAGTATGTGAACCAGTAGACTAATGACATCTCCAATAGCTAATTGGAGTGAGATGTCAGCCAACTGGAGTCCAATCAATGAGATGAGATTGGAGGTGTTGGTTACAGCTGCCCTGCCCTATAAAAAACACACACCAGTTCTGGGTTTGCTTTTCACAAGAAGCATTGCCTGATGTGAATGATGCCTCGCACAAAAGAGCTCTCAGAAGACCTACGATTAAGAATTGTTGACTTGCATAAAGCTGGAAAGGGTTATAAAAGTATCTCCAAAAGCCTTGCTGTTCATCAGTCCACGGTAAGACAAATTGTCTATAAATGGAGAAAGTTCAGCACTGCTGCTACTCTCCCTAGGAGTGGCCGTCCTGTAAAGATGACTGCAAGAGCACAGCGCAGACCGCTCAATGAGGTGAAGAAGAATCCTAGAGTGTCAGCTAAAGACTTGCAAAAGTCACTGGCAGGGGCGGACTGACCACTCGGGCACTTCGGTCATGGACCGAGGGCCCGAGGCAGTCAGGGGCCCGGCCGCACAGCCATGCTCCAGCTGGAGAGATCAGAGATCTCTCCAACTGGAACGAAAAAAAATAAAATTATTTAATTGATAGGTTGTGGGGCCCCTGATGCAGTGCGGGGCCCCACAACCTACCGCTCTCTAAATCCACCCCTCCTCCCAATGAGACCTGGCAGCTTTACTAGCTCTCTGCCAGGTCTCCTGCTTCCAGTCCCGCGGTGCTCTGTGTGATGAGAGAGGCGGGACAGGAAGTTACATCACTTCCTGTTTACTCCTCTCACACAGAGCCCAGCGTGGGGAAGGAGCAGCAGCCGGGGAGAGTGCAGAGGAAGCAGAGACAGGTAGGCACCAATCACCCTCTCCCCCCCCTCACTGTCACTAATCACCCCCTCCCCCACTGTCACTAATCACCCCCTCCCCTAATCACCCCCCTCCCCCCCACTTCCAATGCGCTAATCACCCCCCTCCCCCACTTGTCACTAATCACCCCACTGTCACTAGTCACCCCCCAACTGTCACTACAGTCACCCCCAACTGTCGCTAGTCACCCCAACTGTCTCTAGTCACTTACTGTCACTTCAGTCACACCCCCCACTTTGTCACTTTAGTCACCCCTCACTGTCACCCAGTCCACTTTACTCCCTCACTGTCACCCAGTCCACCCCTCCCCACTGTCTTTTAATCCCACCCCACTGTCACTAATCACCCCCCCACTGTCACTAGTCACCTCCCCTCACTGTCACTAGTCACCCCCCCACTGTCACTAGTCACCTCCCCTCACTGTCACTAGTCACCTCCCCCCACTGTCACTAGTCAGCTCCCCCCACTGTCACTAGTCACCCCCCACTGTCACTAGTCACCCCCTCACTGTGTCACTAGTCACCCCCCCCCGTGTCACTAGTCACCCCTGCTGTCACTAGTCACCCCCTCCTGTCACTAGTCACGCCCCCCTTCACTGTCACTAGTCACCCCCTTCACTGTCACTAGTCACCCCCTTCACTGTCACTAGTCACCCCCTTCACTGTCACTAGTCACCCCCTTCACTGTCACTAGTCACCCCCTTCACTGTCACTAGTAGCCCCCTCCCTCACTGTCACTAGTCACCCCCCTCAGTCTGTCACTAGTCACCCCCCCACTGTCACTAGTCACCCCTTCCCTCACTCACTCTGTCACTAGTCACCCCCTCACTCACTCTGTCACTAGAGTGAGTGACTAGTGACAGAGTTAGGGAGGGGATGACTAGTGACAGAGTTAGGGAGGGGATGACTAGTGACAGAGTTAGGGATGGAGTGACACAGTGACAGAGGGAGGGATGGAGTGACACAGTGACAGAGGGAGGAATGGGGTGACACAATGACAGAGTGAAGGGATGACTAGTGACAGTTAGGGAGGGAGTGACTAGTGACAGAGGGAGGGATGGGGTGACTAGTGACAGTCACCACCTCCCTCTCTGTCACCAGTCATACCCTCACTCTGTCACTAGTCACCCCTTCCTTCCCTCACTCTGCCACTAGTCACCCCTTCCCTCACTCTGTCACTTGTCACCCCCTCACTCTGTCACTAGTCACCCCCTCACTCTAGTGACAGAGTGAGGGAGGGGGTGACTAGTGACAGAGTGAGGGATGAGGTGACTAGTGACAGTGACCACTTCCTTCACTCTGTCAGTAGTCACCCCCTCCCTCACTCTGTCATTGTGTCACCCCCTTCCTCACTCTGTCACTAGTCACCCCCTCTCTCACTCTGTCACTAGACATCCCCTTCCTTACTGTCACTAGTCCCACCCTCCCTCACTCTGTCACTAGAGTGAGGGGGTGACTAGTGACAAAGTGAGGGCGTGACTGGTGACAAAGTGAGGGCGTGACTGGTGACAAAGTGAGGGCGTGACTGGTGACAAAGTGAGGGCGTGACTGGTGACAAAGTGAGGGCGTGACTGGTGACAAAGTGAGGGCGTGACTGGTGACCGAGTGAGGGAGGGGATGACTGGTGACAGAGTAAGGGACGGAGGGGTGAGGGAGGGTCACTAGAGTGAGGGGGTGACTAGTGGCAGAGTAAGGGAGGTGGTAACTAGTGACAGTCACCACCTCCCTAACTCTGTCACTAGTCACCCCTTCCTTCCCTCACTCTGCCACTAGTCACCCCCTCACTCTAGTGACAGAGTGAAGGAGGGGTGACTAGTGACAGAGTGAGGGAGGGGGTGATTAGTGACAGAGTGAGGGATGGGGTGACTAGTGACAGTCACCACCTCCTTCACTCTGTCACTAGTCACCCCTTCCTCACTCTGTCACTAGTCACCCCCTCTCTCACTCTGTCACCAGTCATCCTTCCTTCCCTCACTCTGCCACTAGTCATCCCTTCCCTCACTCTGTCACCAGTCATCCCCTCACTCTGTCACCAGTCACCCCTTCCTTCCTTCACAGTGACAGAGTTAGGGAGGGAGTGACTAGTGACAGAGAGAGGGATGCGGTGACTAGTGACAGTCACCCCCTCCCTCTGTCACTAGTCATTCCCTCCCTCTGTCACCAGTTATCCCCTCACTCTGTCACTAGTCACCTCTTCCCTCCCTCACTTTGCCACTAGTCATCTCTTCTCTCCCTTCCCCACTCTGCCACCATTAACCCCTCCCTAACTCTGTCACTAGTCACCCACTCCCTCACTCTGTCACCAGTCACCCCCTCACTCTGTCACCAGTCACCCCCACTCACTGTATCTCCCCTCACTCTGCCACCACTCAACCCCTCCTTCCCTCACTCTGCCACCAGGTACCCCCTCACTCTGCCACCTGTCACAACCTCCCACACTCTTCCACCTGTCACCTGTCACATATGCATTCACATAGACACTATATACAAAAAAGCACATGTAGTCATCCAGACATGCACAAGTGCATTCACACAGACTCAAATACAAACATGCATTGATACACAGGTCTTCACAATATACACATCCAAAGGAATGCCGTATTATGAGTTATATTTAACATTTATTTAATGCATGTTTATTTGGCCTTCAAAGGGCCTGGGATCTAATTTTGCCCGGGGGCCCCAAAGGCTCTCAGTCCACCCCTGGTCACTGGCAAATGCTAACATCCCTGTTAGCGGATCTACAATACGTAAAACACTAAACAAGAATGGATTTCATGGGAGGTTACCACAGAGGAAGCCACTGCTGTCCAAACAAAACATTGCTGCACGTTTACAGTTTGCACAAGAGCACCTGGATGTTCCACAGCAGTACTGGCAAAATATTCTGTGGACAGATGAAACCAAAGTTGAGTTGTTTGGAAGAAACACACAACACTGTGTGGCGAAAAAAACGCACAACACACCAACATCAAAACCTCATCCCAACTGTGAAGTATGGTGGTGGGGGCATCATGGTTTGGGGCTGCTTTGCAGCATCAGGGCCTGGACGGATTGCTATCATCGAAGGAAAAATGAATTCCCAAGTTTATCAAGACATTTTGCAGGAGAACATGAGGCCATCTGTCTTCCAGCTGAAGCTCAACAGAAGATGGGTGTTGCAACAGGACAATGACCCAAAGCATAGAAGTAAATCAACAACAGAATGGCTTAAACAGAAGAAAATACGCCTTCTGAAGTGGCCCAGTGAGAGTCCTGACCTCAACCCGATTGAGATGCTGTGGCATGACCTCAAGAAAGCAATTCACACCAGACATCCCAAGAATTTTGCTGAACTGAAACAGTTCTGTAAAGGGGAATGGTCAAAAATTACCCCTGACCGTTGTGCACGTCTGATCTGCAACTACAGGAAACGTTTGGTTGAAGTTGTTGCTGCCAAAGGAGGTTCAACCAGTTATTAAATCCAAGGGTTCACATACTTTTTCCACCTGCACTGTGAATGTTTTCATGGTGTGTTCAATAAAAACATGTCAACATTTCATTCTTTGTGTGTCATTAGTTTAAGCAGACTGTGATTGTCTATTGTGACTTAGATGATGATCAGATCACATGTTTTGACCAATTTGTGCAGAAATCCATATGATTCCAAAGGGTTCACATACTTTTTCTTGCAACTGTATATAAATGAAAGGGAACATATTTTGACACTGTATCAGCACTGTATCCTTGGATATTTCTGTTATATCGACATATAAAGAATCATCACCCATCTCACGGTATATGTGGGTATTACACAACTATTCTGATGGCACTCTTTGTGCTACAAAATTGACAGCTATGACACAATGCTTTTTACAGCGAGGATACAGCAAAGTGTCTACTAACTCTATTGGAATGAGCAAACACAAGAATACTGGATGGAACAGCTAGGAGATCTGCAACAGAGGAAAGATTAGTATTCTCACATATTTTCCATACTAGATCTGGAAAGTTTAAAACCCTCTATCTTGCAGATTGGCACACCATAACCAGAGACTCAACATTACCAGAGATTTTCAAAAGTCCACCTATCATAAGCTATCATTGAAGATCAAACTTAAGACATGCTGGTACACACAGACCAGTTTGTGTTAATACAGAGGCCACCTGAATACATTACTACAGGATGTTATAGGTGTTTGAACTGCACTGCTTGCAACTCTATGTTTAAGAGTAAGATGTTTTGCCACCTACATTCAGGCAAAACATACAAAATATGGCACAGGTTCACATACACTACATGCTGCGTTGTAGTTAGGAAAACCATAATTAAATAAAGAATTTGTATTGTAATCGCCAACTGCTGACGCATTCCGAGAGTTATGTCTGTTATATGCCTAATGTTTATTTGTCGCTTTATGGGCCTAAGGTAGGTCACTGGAATCCCTGGAGTTTAAGTTCCAGTTCCAGTTGAGGTGGCCTGAATGAAGGCAATCCATGGTTCCCAAATTTGTTTGAATATGAGAATTTTTTTAAATGAACTAGTCGACTTCTTCCATTTGTTTTATGTTTCCACTCTATGGATCCGGTTTCGTATCGAGGGAGGGTTTGTGTGTTTCCAGTGTGCTGAGTTTGCATTGGGTAGATGGCATCTGAAGCAAGTATCAGGTGTGTCGTCATGTAATTTGTGGAGTTTTGCTGGGGTGTAGTTCCAGGGAGTAATACGCTTGTAGTTGCTCTCCTGTGTAGTAAGGTTTGTGGAGGTTTTGTAAGTTTGAAGAAATATAGTCTTCCATTGATCTATGGATATGCATGTCTGTAATTCCTTCGACCAATTTTCAGTATGTTGAAGATCATGTTTTTGGGCAGCTAATATGAGGTTGCACATGGTGGAGAGAGTTTTCTTCTGCAGAACATGCGACGTGCACATTTGTTCTAACCTCATTAGATGCCTAGCCCCTTCGGGAAGTAGATTAATCATGTGGATAAAGTGCACCAGTTGGGTGTAGCGGTACTGTTGTGTGCCAGTGTGAGTCGAGATTGGGATAATCGAGGCCAGTGTTTTTAACTTCCTATCCTGAAGAATGGAATTGAGTGTGAGGTTAGGGGTAGTGTGGTACTGTTTATAGATCTTGTACTTCTTGGAAGAGTGGGTTATGAAAGAGGGGGTATAATGGCAATGGATGTGGGTAGATGTCTTGCGAGGGCCTGATTAATGTCCAGACCTGTAGCGTGGCTGATATGGTCGGATGTCCCTTGTGGAAAGTTGCACAGCTTTGTGATAGAGCTCAACATCTGGTAGCCCCATACCCCACCCCAGGTTCTCGTGAGAAGAGTGAGCTAATCTGGGATGTTTAGGAGACCATAGTAAGGTCGTAAACATTTTGCGAATAGTAGTGAAGAATTGCTTTGGGAGGGCTATCTGTAGAACTCAGTGTAAATATAGTAGACGTGGTAGTGCATTCATTTTAAGAATTTGGAAAACCAGCTATATTGTGGCAGGTGCCAGCATTTAAAATCATTGGAGAGTGCTGTTAAGAGGTGGGAAGTTTAGTTTGTAAATGCGACTCATTGTATGGGGTAAATGTATACCTAAGTATTTGATAGCTGTAGGAGCCCATGTAAATTGGAAAAGGTGTTTCCATGTTGTCTGTGTCTGTAGCCGTATGCAGTGGGAGCAGTTCACATTTGGACAGGTTGGCCTGAAAATTTGAAATCCTATTGCAAATGGACACTTCCTCAAGGATGTGCGGGATGGACATTTCCTCAAGGATATGTGTCAGGTTCGAGAAGAGTAGGTCATCTGCAAAAGCTGATATTTTAAAATCCTCACCCTTGTGAATTAAATCTTGGATTTGTGGGTTGTCTCTAATCTCCTGTAGGATTAGATTAGTACTAATATAAATATGAGGGGTGATAGGGTGCACCCCGGTCTCATGCCATTTGGTATTGGAATAGAAGTGGAGAGTTGGCCGTTGATTCTCTGATGCGCCGTAGGCATAGAATAAATAGCTCCCAACCAACTGAGCCAATGTCCACCGAAGCCCATGTGTTGTAGTGTGGCCAGCATCAGGGACCCGTCCACGCTGTTGAATGCCTTTTCAGCATCAATTAAGTGTAGCACACTCTGCGTTTTTTACAGTTTCCCTGAGTACAAGTTTAGGAGTTTGGTAGTGTTATATTTTGGCTTCTCTACCTGCTACAAAGACGGATTGGTCAGGGTGGACTAGTCCCGGCAACAGCATTTGGAGAGATCCCTACCTGGTTTAGGGATTAATGCAATGGTGGCTTCCAGGGACAAGGGGGGTATGTTGGGAAAGTCTAGGAGCGAGTTAAATGAGTCTGTGAATGGTTGTGTCAGTACCGTCCCCATAGCTTTGTAGTATTTGGCCGTAAAGCCGTCTGGGCCTGGGCTTTTGCCTAAGGGTTGTGCTTTTATCACTTGTCTAGTTTTGTGTAGCAGGATTGGGCTTTCTAGGGCCTCCAGGGCATTGTGAGGGATAGTGCTTTTGAAGAGAAAATTATCTTGTAATCTGGTAGGGGCTTGTCTCTTAAATTGTATAATTTAGTATAGAACTCCTGGAAGGATATGATAATGTCTGGCATGACGCAGGACTTGTTGCCAGTCTGTACTGTGATAGATATGAATGTTGTTTGTCTTTTTGGTTGTATGGATTGGGCTAGTAGGCGTCCACTTTTGCCTCCCTGGATGTACGAAGTGTGCTTAGTTAGTATTTGTTTACATTTAGATTTTGAGTTTAGCAGAGTTGTGAGTTCGGATCTCTTGGCTATAAGTGTTTCGTATGTG